CCTTCCTGAAAGGCATAAGAGAACACATTCCAAAACAGCCTATGAAAACTTTCTATAGCCACATACACCAAAAGAGGAAGGCATTCTCAGAATGGGGAACAAGCATCATTTGAACTTGCCAAATACATGGTATCTTTTCCTATATTTCAATTTTTTAAAACACTTTTCTACTTTTTTTTTCCAATTTTCAAGGTAGATTTTATAGGATGATACTTAGGTCTCAGGGTGCTGGCAAGTCCTTGGTATGTGAAGCAGGGCTCTCTCCTAGAATACTTCAAAGAATCTAGATGCTTTTCTGCAGATCATTCCATTTGCGTGCAGAAAGAAACAAAGGTAGACAGCATGGAGTAATGGTTAAGAGCTTGAGATCCGAAACCAAACTGATCTGGCACTGAGCTCATGCTCTGTTTGCTGGCTACGTGGCTCTAGCCAAGACGCTCAGCATCCCTGAAACCCCATGTTTCATCTACATAGAAAATAGGAGCTAATCTCTTTAATCAACATTTTTAAAAATCTATTTTTAGAGATGAGACAGAAAGAGAGTGAGAGCTAGCTCCCACCACTGGTCCACTCCCCAAATGGTTTTGCCAGGAGCCAGGAACCTAATCTAGGTCTGCCAGTTGGTTCCTTGAACCAATAAGGTGGCTCCCAAGGCCCACATTAGCAGGGAGCTGGAATCAGGAGCTAGTGCCAGATTCTGGCAACTGAACCCAAGTACTCTGCTGTGGGACACAGGCATCTTAACCACCAGGCCAAGAACTAACATGGTTGAGTATTTACCATATGCTAGGAACTGTGTGTGCACCAAGTTTTACATACTTTATATGCATTATTTTATTTAATCCTTACCACAGGCCTGTGCTATGGATACTATTATTATCCCTATTTTATAGGTAAGAAAATAGAAGCACAAAGTGGTTAATAGTTTGCCAGATACCATATGACTGTAAATGGTGAAGCCAGGATGCAAACACAAGCAGTCTGACTCAACGACCCATGCATTTAATCACTACCTTCTTTATAATGACGTCGTAAGGATGAAATGAGTCAGGCCCCCCGTGTAGTGTCTGGTACAAGCTGTAAGTAAATATTAGCTGAGGTATTGTTTTTAGTATTGTCATTTTTTCCCAAGAGATAACTGAGCCAGAAAACAAGTTTTGACATGGGATATTTTATGTCTATCCCAGTTCACTGCCCCAGGTATGTGTCTTTCAGTTGAACTGTCAGGCCTCTGCTATTACCTAAACACTCTGCATCTGATGGATTACCTGGTTGAGAGATAGGCTAAATAGTTGGCAATTTTTCCATCTTCCCCATAAAAATGTTCTCTGACTGGGAAAAATATATAAGGTCTTTTATACAAGAAAGGTATATTAAGCAATAGCTAGCAAAATTACAGACAGCATCAAGATTCTAAGTGGGTCATGTTTCAGAATGTCATCTGTCTATTGTTTAAAACTCTGAATACATAGAAATAAGTTTTCTAATAATGGTTACATTCCCAACCTAGTCACAAAAGTCTATTTATTTAGCTCATTTTAAAGCTCAGTGATAGAAATCATGCCATGAGTCCAAGGGCAAGCCCAGGAATAAGAGTCTATGTGACTAGGGCTGGCTCTGTGGCTTAGCAGGTTAAAGCCCTGGCCTACACCACCGCCATCCCATATGGGTGCTGGTTCAAGTCCCAGTTGCTCTACTTCCTATCCAGCTCCCTGCTAATGAGCCTGGGAAAGCAGCAGAGGAGCGCCCAAGTGCTTGGGCCCCGTACCCATGTGGGAGAAGCTCCTGGCTTCCAATCAGCTCAGCTGTGGCCATTTAGGAAGTGAACCAGTAGATGAAAGACTTTCTCTCTCTCTCTCTCTCTCTCTCTCTGTAACTCTGCCTTTCAAATAAATATTCTTTAAAAAATGCTATGTGATTTTAAAAAAAAAAAGGAACAAAATGGCTATTCTGGTACAGAAGTAAACTAGTGTATTAGGTATCTATAACTGTGTAAGAAATGATCCCCAAAACTTACCATGTTGACATTTATTTTTCTCATGCAGTCTCTGAGGGTCACCTTAGTAGAGGTAGCTGAGTTCTGGCTCAGGATCCCTCTTGGGGCTTCACTGAACATCACCTGACTGTAATCATCTGAAGGCTTAGCTGGAGGAGCGTTGGCCTCCAGTGTAATTCAATTATGCACCTTTTCATCGGGCTGCTGGAGTTTGTCACAACACGATAGCCAGTACCCTCCAGCGCAAGTGATCTAAAAGTAAGAATAAAGAGACAGTTGCAGTGCCATTTATGATCTAGTCCTCTAAGTCATACAGTCACTTCTACCATATTCTATTCGTTATAGGCTAAATGCTACTCATTAAGCATAGCCAATCCAATAGGATAATGAAGCTCCACCCCTTGATGGATGGAGTTCCTCAGAATTTGTGGATACATCCTAAAATCGCCATTTAGATTTTTTGTTGTCCTCCCATCACTCTGCAGGTACCTAGGGAAACAACAACAAAAAAAACACAAACCAGGAAGTAGAGTTTCAGCCCTCCCCAACAAAGTTTGCTGTGTATACTCAAAATAACCCATGCCCTTTCCTTAATTTTTCTTAAAACTGTCTATCCTTTTTCCTTAAAAATGTAATCTTATTTTAAGAAATATTTATTTACTCATTCATTCATTGGTATCATTGGTAGAATTCCAAGCAGTATAACAAAATGAAATTTAAAAAAAAAAAAACTATTTGCCAACTGGGTGGATTAAGACATTTGGGGTTAGGAAAGCAACCCCTAGTAAGTTCTCTCCCTTCAAGTGATTATGGCCTGTGTGTCCTGGTTACTGAACATCCCAAGCACTAGTTTTTCCTTCCTGGTCTAGGAATCATGAAGCCTCTAATCCAGGCTCCCTGACTAGACTCCCAGGACTGCAGCTCTGCAGTCATAATGCTGGCATTCAAAAGTGAGGAACTGCCCTGGAGTCCAAAAGTGCTTGTTCTTGGCACATACAAGGTTCCAAAGCATCACCTGCATCTCCAGAGGCAAATGACTGCTTCATATGATTTTGTATTGCATTTTTTTGTAACCTGAAATTTGGTAATACATATAGACTATTATAAAAAACGTAACATTCATAAACACTGGACAAACAGGAGTTTGTACAATTCACAATTCACGTCCAAACAGAGGCTAAGGCCTTGATCCAAGACTTCTCCTGACAGTGTTATTGTTTTGTTTTGTCTTTGAAGATTTATTTTTATTTACTTGAAAGGCAGAATTAAAGGGAGAAAGAGGTCTTCCATTGGATGGTTCACTCCCCCAACTGGTCATACGACCAGGGCTGGGCCAGGCAGAAGCCAGGAGCCAGGAGCTTCTTCCAGGTTTCCCACGTGGATGCAGGGGTCAAGCACTTGGGCCATCCTCTGCTGCTTTCCTAGGTGCATTAGCAGGGAGCTGGATCAGAAGTGAAGCAGCAGGTACTGGAACCAGTACCCATATGGTATGCCAGCGCTGCAGGCCAGGGCTTTAACCCACTGCGCCACAGAACAGGCCCCATGTTATTGTTTTTAATCTTGACTCTTAACCCTGAGAATATAATGAAAGCTAAGGAACTTGTCCCAGAAAATATAAACACCCACAAAGTTTTGCACATAAATTTAATGATTTGTGTAGCCCACCACTCCCCCCCCAAAGCCCATCCAGGAAATCTGGAATAAGACTTTGTATTGCGATCTTACTGTCATTTCATTTTGCCATTAAAATTTAGATTTAGGGGGCGACACTGTGGTGCAGCAGGTTAAACTGCCAAAACGCTGGCATCCCCTCAGGGCATGTGTTTCAGTCCTGGTTGCTCCACTTCCAAACCAGCTCCCTACTAACACACCAGGGAAAGCAGTAGAAGGCGGCCCAAGTGCTTGGGCTCCTGCACCTACATGGAAACCTGCATGGAACAGCCCTCGCTGTTGGGGTCATTTAGGGAGTGAACCAGTGGACAGAAAATCTCCCTCTCTCCTCTCTCTCTAGTTGTGCATTTCAAAGAAATAAAAAAAAAGTTAGATTTAAAATCAGAAAAAACTATTTAAGACTCAATTCTGTCAAATGATCTCTGGATTTTGTCTTTTCTTTTGTTAAACAGAACCAAAGGCCAAAGAGATACCTCTAGCAGATTTCTTGTGCTCAAGTTTGGTCCACACGGTAAATACCTGAGAGACAAAAAGAACTTGGCAGTAGCGCACAGAATACAATGAAAAACAATAGTGAACATAAGAAGGACACAGAACTGCTGACAAAAACAGCCTCACCCTCTCCAGTGGACTTGACTGGGCAGCAAATAATTTTTTAAGCCTCGCTTGTATTTTTATCTTTGTCACGGACAAACAATATCTGTACCATATTTATGGGGCAAGTGCGAGAATTCGATACACTATACAAAATGTAAAGATCAAACCAGACAAATGAGCATTTTTTCATCTCCTCGAATATTTATCATTTCTGTGCGTTGGGAACCCTTGCCAACAAGCCAGAAACGCAGCAATGGGAGGAGGGAAAAGTCGCTTGGCTTCCCACTTAGCAGGAAAGCACTCGGGCTGTTTTCTGAGAAGCTGCCACGGCCAGGATCCCGGACGGCGATTCCTGAGACCCACCTTCGCTGGAGGGGACTCCGGGCAGCCACGCCCAGCCCCGGGCGGGACCGTTCCAACCCAGCCACCAAGCCCGCAGACCCCGGCCCGGCCAGCACATTCTTCTGGGAGGAGGAGGAAGGGCCCCGGGAACGCCGCGCTTGGCCAGTGAGTGACCCGGGGCCGAGGCGACCCCGCCGGCGAAGGGGCGGTGCGACCCGGCGCAGCCCCCGCGCGCGTCCCAGCCCTGCGCGCCGGGCCTGTGTGTCCCCGCGCCGACCCCTCCCTCGCGCGCCTCGCCCGGCGCACGCGCGCGGCCTCGCGCAGGGCGGGGAGAGGCGGCGGCCGCGGGCGCCCGGCCCCGAACCTGTCAGACCCGGGGAGCCGGCCTCGAGCGGCGGGCGCGGCGGGCGCGGCGGGCGCGGCGGGCGCGAGCCGCGGCCCCGCTCCCTCGCGGCCCCGAGCGGAGCAGCGCCAGCCGGCCCCGCCGAGCCGGCGGGGGGTTGGGAAAGGGAGTAGCGGCCCCGCGGCAGCGCCCCAGGTAGATGCGCCGCCCCCCTCGCGGAGCCCCGGCGGCGCCTCGGGGCCGGCCCAGCGCCCCGCCGCCCGCGGCTTCGGAACTTGTGGGCAGTGTTGGGGCGCCTTTAATTTATAACGTGTTTCGTTTTCCACAGGATGGGGAGGGACGCGCGGCGCTGCCCTCGGGAACTGGCGCTCCGGTGAAGTAGAGCCGCCGGCCGGCCGCCTGCACCGAGCGGTTCCGCGGCGCGGCCGCTCAGCCTCTGCCATGGCCGGCTCCGGCGCGTGGCAGCGCCTCAAATCCCTGCTGAGGAAAGATGATGCGCCGCTCTTTCTAAATGACACCAGCGCCTTTGACTTCTCGGATGAGGTGGGGGACGAGGGGCTGGCTCGCTTTAACAAACTTCGAGTGGTGGTGGCCGAGGATGAGCCCGAGCCCCCGGAAAGGCCTATTAACGGGGCGCACCCGGCGCTCCAGGCCGACGACGATTCCCTATTGGACCAGGACTTACCTTTGACCAACAGTCAGCTGAGCTTGAAGGTGGACCCCTGTGACAACTGCAGCAAACAGAGAGAGTTACTGAAGCAGAGAAAGGTGAAAACCAGGTTGACCATTGCTGCTGTTCTTTACTTGCTTTTCATGATTGGAGAACTTGTAGGTGAGTTGTGTCGCCAACTCACTTTTCCATTTGCCTTGCCTCGAGAGTCTTTGTCGAGCTGTAGTTACACACGGGTTGAGGTTTAAACTTCCCTTTCGGGAAGTTTGTTATTTATCAAGATCCAGATCTCAGGAGGTGAGAAGGCCTCAGGAATTCCAAAGTGCAGCTCAATCTGAGTACCACAGACAGAAAACTAACCGAGATCACTTAGGCTGTATCTCCTAGTTCTTCCTACTCTGTGTCATTTACTGTCAAGTCAAGGGCAGTATCTTCATTGTATGTCGTGTGATTTCCCCTTTTAAGATATTCTGATAAAACATCAGATCTTTTTTTTTTTTCCGCAACGTTTAAAATAGTAGATGGGTCTAAAATCATAGAATTTTACAGCATGAAGAAGCCTTACTGAACAGATGATCCCCTACTTTTTCACACTTAAGGATTCTGACAGCCCAGAGAAGTTAAATACCACTGGTTTAAATGGTCTCTTATATAATTTCCTTTTGTATTTTATAGCCAAGAGACTCACAGAATTAAATACTACCAACTAACACAAAGGGTTTATTATTATTATCATCATCATCATTATTATAAAAAGAATCTGAAATGAACCAGAGGGCTCCCCCAGAGTTTTATGAACTTGATTTCCATTTTTTAATTATTGCCAAAAAACCACATTCTCACTATAATATATATTCTTAGTTTAGAGATTATTTTCAGTCATGTTACTGCATGGTCATCCTCTAGTATCTGTGGGAGATTAGTTCCCAGATTCTTGCAGACAACAAAATCCAAGTCCCTTATGTAAAATGGTTGTGGTGTTATTTCCATATAATCTACACAATGCTCCCATATCCTTTAAGTGATCTTTAGATTACATATAATATCTAATATAATGTAAATGATATGCAAATAGTTGTCATTCTTTAGAGAATAATGGCAAGGGGAAAAAGTGCATATTCAGCACAAATGCAGACTTTTCTCTGAATATTTTCGATCCATGGTTGAATTGGTGGTTGCAATGCATGGATGGAGGGTCAACTACAATTGCTAACTTCTCTTAGTGACGGTTTACAAAGGGAGATCATTCTCCTTTGTTGTCTCTTAATGAACACAATGAGAGAAGAAGTTATATACTTTTACTACCTCATTTCGTACCACTCCTCTCCAGTGCTTATTTCAGCCATACTGGTTTTTCACTTCCCAGAAATCACAAAGTTCTTTACTCCATTTAAGGCTTTCAATTCTGACTAGTCCTATCTTGGTGGCTTTCAAACTTTTTTTTTTAACCTCTCTATAGTAAGAAATGCATTTAACAATGTGACTCATGTAGGCATGCATACATACCTATATAAGCACATATACATGTGTTTAAATATATATACATATACTTGAAACAAGTTTTATTTCATGTGATATATTCTAATTTTTTTTAGTTGTATCCCTGCCCACTAAATTGACTTTTTGGTCCACTTACAGTAAGTCAGGGCCTGTAATTTGAAAAATGCCACGTGAACTGGCTTCTCCCAGAACTTCTCTTGGCTTGTTTGTCATTCATGTCTCATCTTGAAAGACACTTCTGAGAGATCTTACTAAAGTAAATCTCTCTCTTCCCCTTCTCCCTCCCAAATTTTCAAAACCGTTAGTATCTGAGATAAGCTCATTAATTTGCTTGTTAAATATCTGTCTTCCACTGAGAAACAGACTGAAGTCCTAGCACCTAGAACAGTGACTGGTACAAAGTTGGCAATAAATTTTTGTTGAATTAATCGACTTCTATTCTGTTAGAGAATTATAAATGCTTAAACTATAAATAAAAGATGGGAGAGAAGATGTGGCCAGATGAGGCACAGTCTCAATAGACTGAAGATTTAATGTCTCGCCCAAATTCATGCAATTAGAATGTTGAATCATTCAGACAGTGATTTTATGTTTGTATTTAATATGCGAGATAAAGTAACATTAATCAGAATGTTCCTCCTTAAAATTAACTTCGAGTTTATTCATCCTAAGAATCATTAAGGTATAAATGTCCTAACTTCTTAGTTCTGAAATCTCTTATTTGGAAAATGTTGTTTTGTGAAAGCCACAGTAAGTATTTCCTTTCAAATACTGACTTTATTTTCAAATATGAAAATCTTTTGTTAAATAATAGAGATGACAGTATTTGGTAAAGGTATTAGTATTATTCAGAATGTTTTATAGAATTGTATGTTAAAGAGCATCTATTGTATATTCAAAACACTTAGAAATAAAGCATCTAAGGAAGTATAGATTAATAAAAATGAAATAATTTAAAGATCTGAAAGACGACACTTGGATTTGAATATTGGGTTTGCCACTAACTTGTTCTGAGACCTTGAACAAGGTCTATTTTTCTCTTCATTCTGTTCAGCACGTATTTTTAAGTGCTTCCTCTATGCCAGACACTGTACTTCAGGTTCTGGAGATATAACAGAGAAAAGAACTGTTATGATCCCTATTATCTGAAGTATTTAATCAAACAGGAGATAGACCTTAACAAGCAAACTTGAATAAATTTAAAATTTTGATTGTCTTAAGTGCCCTGAAGAAGAAAAAGAAGAAAGAACTGTAAGACATAGTAGCCCAATTGCTTCTCAGCCTTTTGGCTAAGATCAAGTGTAAGACATAGTAGCCTATGGGGTTAAGTTTATGCATGAGCCAGGTACATTTAAATCAAAAAAGAATAGTTGGAGTTACTCAAGCAAAGAGAGTAAGGGAGGAGTTTCCAGGCAAAGAGAACAGCACGTACAAAGATCCTAAATCCTTTACTTCTTCAAAAATGATCTTAACAGGCAGTTAGTGTGGCTGGAATGTAGTAAATATGAGGGAAAAAGGCTGGAGGACCAGATCGGGCAGATCCTAATAGGCCATGTTAAATGGGTGTATTTTTATTCTAAGTGCAGTGGGAAGCCAATGAAGAGTTTTATTTATTTTCATTTTTATTTAAAAGGCAGAGAGACAGATGGAGAGAGATCTTATATTTGCTGTTTAACTCCCTGAATGCTTTCAATAGGCAGTGCTGGGGCAAGTCTAAGCCAATAGCCACAAACTACATCAAGGTTCCTCATGTGAATATCAGAGACTCAAGTATTGAACCATCATCTGCTGTCACCCAGAGTGCACATTAGCAGGAAGTTGAATCAAAAGTAGAGTAGCCCGAGTTGAACCAGGTACTCTGATAATCTCAAGCAGCAACTTAGCTCCTGCACCAAACACCTATCCCCAGTGAAGATCTTCTAAACAGGAGAGTGACATGATGGTATTTACCTTTTTAAAGGATTACTCTGGCTGTTAAGTGGAAAATGGATTGAAGGGTACAAGAATGGGCACAAGTAAACTATTGCAGAGATTCAGAGAAAAAACATTTATAGCAGGGACTAGAGTGGCTGGAAATGTACCGATTGAGAAACATTCTAGAGAGAACATGAACAAAATTGACTGATAGTTTTAATGTGGTGCTTAGGAGAAAGCATGTCAGGAATGATTTCTCATCTAAGCACCTGAGTCTAGAAGTGTGTCTTTTATAAATCCAGGAGAGAATACAGAGCAGGATTTGGGCGTGGGCTTGGGAGTTGTTTTAGACTTGTTAATTTTCATATGTATATGAAATAGCCAGGTAGAGATGTCTAGTGGGCAGGATGTCTGTAGTTCAGAAGAGACGTCAAGGTAGAGAGAGGTGACTGTATGTAAAGTCAAAGGAATAGGTAAAATTACCCAGAGTCCCAAATCGTTAAGAGCTCCAACTTTAGAAATCAGGGAGAGGCAAACAGGTGTTCCAAAATCTAAGAAGAGAGAGCATGGTAATCCTTCCTTTTCCATGGCTTCACTTTATGCAGTTTTAGTTACCTGAAGTCATTTGCATTCCAAAAATATTAAATGGAAAATTCCAGAAATAAACAGTTGATAATTTTTAAGCTGTGCACCATTCTGAGTAGCCAGGATGAAATCTTATGCTATCCTATTCTAGTCTGAATGTGTTCTAGAATGTGAACTATACCTTTTTCCAGCATATCTACATAATTTTGTTTATTCTTATAATTGTTGTCTTTTTTAAAAAAATATTCATTTTATTTGAAAGGCAGAATTACAGAGAGAGTGAGATACAGAGAAAGAAATTTTCCATCTGCTGGTTCACTGCCCAAATGGCTGCAACAGCCAGAGCTGGGCCAGACCAAAGCCAAGAGCCAGAAGCTGCTTCTGGCTCTCCCACATGGGTGCAAGGGCCCAAGTACTTGGGCCATCTTCCGCTGCTTTATCAGGTGCATTAGCAGGGAGCTGGATCAGAAGTGAAGCAGCCGGGACTTGAAACAATAGCCATATGGGATGCTGCAGCTGCAGGTGGCAACTTATTATGCTAAGCCACAGCACTGGCCCCTAATTGTTGTCTTTCATTATTAGCTGTTATTGTTCATCTCTTTGTATACTTAATTCATAAATTGAACTTTATCATAGGTATGTATTTATAGGAAAAAACACAGGGTTTGGTACTACTTATGGATTCAGGCATCCATGAGGGGTCTTGGACTGTATTTCCCTTGCATAAGGGGTGACTACTATATTTCAAAATGGAAATAAATAGATTGAATCTGTTGAAAGATATAATCAGGTGATATCTAAAATCTCCTAAGATTTAGTCTCAGATTTATCTACTTAACATCTGCATTTTATTGGAAATAAAAACACTTGAAGAATACAGAAATCCAGATAAAGATGGCAAATTGGACTCATGCATGTAACTGCATCCTTCTAAAGCCTCTTTCAAACAATAATGAAGAAGTTTTTAAAAAATTTATAAATCCACATATATGGGTAAAACTGGGCAAGAAAAAATACACAAAAACTTTGCAAGCTGGAAAAGAAACATATAAATCAGTAACTGACTAATAAACCCAGGAAAGTGGAAAGCTAAGAACCAACTTAGTTTAGATCGTTAGAGTAGTTCTTAAGCTTCACTGTGCATCAGAATGACCTAAAGAACTTGTTAAACACAAGTTGCTAGACCTCATCTCCAGAGTTTCTAATTAAGTAGATCTGGGATAAGGCCTGTGAATTTACATTTCTGCAAAGATCCTAGGAGAAACTAATGATGCTGATCCAGGGACCACACTTGAGAGCTACTGTACTAGAGAATCCTAAATTGGCCCAGAATTGGTTGTTCCAGATACCTCTGGAAGTGTGGGTGAAGAAGAAGGCTAAAATAAAGAAAGCTAGCTAAAACCTCTTTAAAAGAACCAGTTATTACAGAATAAAAGTATAATGAGTATCTTCAGAGATAAGAGAAGATCATCTCTCCATGAAACAATGGGCTGCATTAAATGCCCACTTAACATATCCAAGTGCCTGGGTTCAGGTCAAGGCTACCTCACTTCCAGTCCAGCTTCCTGCCAGCGTGCACCTTGGGAGGCAGCAGATGATGCCTAATGCACTTGGGTCTCTGCCATCCATGTGAGATATCCATCTGAGTTCTGGGCTTCTGGCTTCAGCCCGACCCAGCCCTGGCTGTTGTGGTCATTTAGAGATTGAACTAGTAGATAGAAGATATATTCTCTCTCTCTCTCCCTTACAAATAAAATGAAAATAAAGTTTTAGGAAAAAAGACTGTTTGCAAAAAAATTAGGGGGTAAGAGATTTTGAACGCTAAAAACAATCCCTGGCCGGCGCCGCGGCTCAGTAGGCTAATCCTCCACCTGTGGCACCAGCACACCAGGTTCTAGTCCTGGTCGGGGCGCCAGATTCTGTCCTGGTTGCCCCTCTTCCAGGCCAGCTCTCTGCTGTGGCCCGGGAGTGCAGTGGAGGATGGCCCAAGTGCTTGGGCCCTGCACCCCACGGGAGACCAGGAGAAGCACCTGGCTCCTGCCTTCGGAGCCACGTGGTGCAGCGGCCACTGGAGGGTGAACCAACGGCAAAGGAAGACCTTTCTCTCTGTCTCTCTCGCTGTCCACTCTGCCTGTCAAAAAAAAAAAAAACATAATCCCACATGATAAAACATTTTTGTAAACTCAATAGAAAAGTCATAAAATGAATTTATTTAGGCAACCTCTTAGAGGAACGCAAAAAGACAAAGATAATAGAAGAGGCAAGAAATATAATCTGAATTCCAAATGCAGTAGTTCCTCCTTGTCCACAGGATCTGCATGAAAACATAGATAGTACTGGACATTATACATTTTGTCTTGCTGTGTTTTCTATTGCTATAATTGAATACCACAGACTAATTTATAAAGATTTATTTGACTCAAAGTTCTAAAGGTTGAGAAGTTCAAGATCCAGTGGTCACATTTGGTGAGATTCTTCTTGCTGGTATGGACTCTTCAGAGTTCCAGGGTGACACAAGGCTTCACTTGGTAAGACAGAGCATCCTCCCTCAATCACTTATAAAGTCACAGCCCCATTGGATTGTGGAGCCACCATTATGGCCTCATTCAGCCTTAATTACTTCCCAAAGGTCCCACCTCCAAATACCATAGTTGAGTTAAGGTCCCCCCCACTTTTTTATTTAAAGATTTATTTTTTATTTATTTGAAAGGCACAGCTACAGAGAGAGAGAGAAAGCTTCCATCTGCTGGTTCACTCCTCAAATGGCTGCAATGGCTCGGGGCTGGGCCACACAGAAGCCAGGAGCCAGAAGCTTCTTCTGGGTCTCCCATGTGGGTGCCAAGGCCCAAGCACTTGGGCCATCTTCCACTGCTTTCCCAGGCACATTAGCAAGAAGTACATCAGAAATGGAGCAGCCAGGACTTGAGCCAGTGCCCATATGGGGTGCCAGCACTGCAGGCAGCAGTGTTAACCAGCTACACCACAGCGCCAACTCCTGCATTAAGTTTTCATCCTCTTAATACCTCTTAATGTTTATTAAATTTCAACATGAGTTTTTGGTGAGAACATTCAAACCATAGCACATACACACACACACACACACACACACTCCTTGAGCATGTGTTTCCGAGGGTACCCTCCCAATGATGTAACCAGTTTTCACTAGAACCTACCGTTTAAAAATTCTACCACCTCTGAGTCGTTGGGGGACAAACCACATACAAACCGTATCATGTATATTTCCAGATTAAAAGAGTCAACAAAAGCCCAGCAAAATGAGTGAAGATAAACCCACACATTGTCACCTACCACCTCAAGGCAGCTGCAGTGCTAAGTACCTGTCTCTCATTGTTTTTGACAAGCATGGGAAGGTGGGGGCTGTTCTCACAGGGCAAGCTCCAAGTGCCAGCTGAGGTTAAAAACAGAAAGTCTTAAACAGCCAGTCTTTCAGGGAACAGGTCGAAAATGACAATTCTTTGGGAATGGAGCATTGAAGGAGCTCCAAGCCCGTTCTTCGAGTGGCTGCCAAACTGAGATTTGCACTATGATTGGAGTCTGTTGGTTTTTAAGGCTGTCACGGAGATGGGGAATGGGTATAGAGTGAGTAAAAACATCACAAAGCTACCTGTTATGACCCAGATTCAGCAATTTTTCTTGAATAGATGTTAACATGTATAAGCCAGAATCCTTAAAAGCTGGTCTTGACATTTTTTGTTCATGTTCTCATGAAGGAGAACACTAAAAACATGTGTTCATGTTTTATGAAGGAAACGATCTTCAGAGGTCCTTACTCTATTTTCAGTGACGTTATGGACATGTGACTTTTTTTTTTTTTTTTAAGATTTATTTGTTTACTTGAGAGGCAGAGTTACAGACAGAAGGAAGGACAGTGAGAGAAGTTTTCCATCTGCTGGTTCATTCCCCAAATGTCAGCAGCAATCAGGAGCCAGGAGCTTCTTCCGGGCCTCGCTTGCAGGTGCCCTCTTCTGCTTTCCTGGGCCATCAGCAGGGAGCTGGATTGGAGGCGAAACACAGGCACCCACATGGGATGCCGGCAGCACAGGCAGATGCTTAACCTATACACCACAGCGCTGGCCCCATGACTTTTTAAATTTAGGCTAGTTAACACTAGGTTAATCAACTCAATTCCTTAGTTTCACTCACTATTTTCAAATGTTTAAGTCACATATGACTAGTGGCTATTCTATTGAACAACATGTATCTAGGTCATTTCAGAAAGTTCTATTGAGCCATGCTGCTTTAAGGTATTCTCATTTTTATAGATGAGTGAACTAAGCCTCAAAAAGGTTAAATAACCTCAAAATTCCAGATCTCATGTCATTAACCATCAGCCTGTTTTTTTTTTATCAATGCTCTCCAGTTTTTTCATCTCAAGAAATGTGTAGAAAATGTTAGTTTATAGAGCACACTGGAGTAAATGGATTCGACTGCAAGATCATCAGCCCTAGGTTCCTAACAGCTATGGGTTCTTCATATCCAGCCCAAGAATGAGGGGGATCCACAGCTCAGCACACTTATCTGATCATGAAATTCTGTCATAGATTACAGCAATCACTCCTGATATGTGGTTCCAAGACCAGAAGCATCAGCCTCACCTGAGAACATGTTAGGAATGTAAATTCTCAAGCCGCATCCCAGACCTGCTGAATCATAAATTTTGAGAGTGGAGTCAAGCAGTCTGTAATTTAACAGACTCTCCTGGTGATATGGTAGAAGTTTTGGGTACTACTGTATTTTAGTATTAAAAGCTTATTTAAAGAGTAGTACCAGTAAAATCAATTGTCCATAATGGGACAGTAACACATATATAAAATGTATGAAAAATATAAATATATATATATGTGTGTGTGTGTGTAAATATACAATGCCTAGAAAACCAATACTAAACATTCTATTCTATATATCGCTTTATATCTTTGTATTTGGAGACATCATTATCCATATCCAAGTGAATCAATTAATTTTTATCTTGTGTCAAACTGATGTACATTTTGTAGAGTTCATCAGTTTAATTTTATTTCTAAAACCTCTCAAACAAGTGAACACACACCTTTTCTACAGCTTTATTGTAATATGTAGATATTATGACTATTAATTCACTAATGCAATAAGTAGTTTAAGCATAAGCCACCGCTTTTCTCTTATGTGTTTATCCCCACTTTAGTGGTTCAACCCTTTTTATAAAGGCCATTGACACTTTGCAGAATCTGTTAATAGAAATAGATTATCTTCACCAGAAAAATATACAGCCAGCCTTCCATGGATTCCACTAACTGTGGATCGAAAATATTCAGAAGGACAATTGCATCTATACTGAACATGTAGACTTCATTCTTATCACTACGTACACAATACAGTATAACAACAATTTACATAGAATTTGCACATTATTTTGGGTATTGTAAGTAATCTAGTGAGAGAACATGCATAATGTTGTATACAAATGATATACCATCTTATGTAATGGACTTGAGCCATCTGCAGATTTTGGTATCCAAGGGTAGCACTTGGGCCTGCAAGAAATCCCCTGTAAAGTCTGAGGGATGACTGTACACATACCTAATATTTTGTGTAAAATGTCAGAATACCTTGATTTAATTGTAACAGGAAAAAGATATAGTTAGAGTTCATATTTTGTAGAATGTAATGTATTTCTGGTTTGATTGCTTATGTTTAATTTTTAAATTAATTTCTTTCTTTTTCCCTCCCGCCCTAACCCTAAGGTGGATACATTGCAAATAGCCTAGCAATCATGACAGATGCACTTCATATGTTAACTGACCTAAGTGCCATCATACTCACCCTGCTTGCTTTGTGGCTGTCTTCAAAATCACCAACCAAAAGATTCACCTTTGGATTTCATCGTTTAGGTAGGTATTTGGGATTTCCTTTAGTTTATAAAGTTTATAAAACCACAATGAACTATAATCCTGATTAACTAAAATCTTTCCAGTAACAGCTTGTTTGAATAAAGCGAATGAAAAGAGTAACAGTGGGGCCTGTGCATATTGGGTAAAGTTGCCACCTTTGGTACCAGCATCCCATATGGGCGCCAGCTCTCTTCTGTGGCCTCAGAAAGTAGTAGAAGATGGCCCAAGTGCTTGGGCCCCTGCACCTGCATGGGAGGCCCGGAGAAAGCTCCTGGCTCCTGGCTTCAGATTGGCCCAGCTCCAGCCGTTGTGGTCATTTGGGGAGTGAACCAGTGGATGGAAGACCTCTCTCTCTCTCTGCTTCTACTTTACTGTATCTCTGCCTTTCAGATAAATAAATAAATCTTTTTAAAAATTGCTAAAAAAAAAAAAAGAAAGAAAAGAAAAGAACAAGATTTTTTCACAGTCTTCCAGGGCGCATTCAGTCCAGTCAGCTGAAACAGTTTATATATATATAATTATATGGCAATTATTAATCGTCCAATGTAGTTCCCTATGTCCTGAAGATGTCATCAGAAAAAACTTTATTTTCAGTAAACTGAACCAAGAAAAACCATATGGGTTTAACTCATTAAGGAGCATTTCTTTGGCCTTTAAAATATTATTTACTTACTTGAAAAGTAGAGTTATGGTGGGGAGAAGGGGGCGGGAGAGAGAGAGAAGTGATCTTCCATCTGCTGGTTCACTCCCCAAATGGCTGCAACAAAGCCAGGAGCCAGAAGCTTCATCTGGATCTCCCACATGGGTGACAAGTGCCCAAGCACTTGGACCATCTTCTGCTGCTTTTCCAGGCACAGTAGCAGGGAGCTGGATCAAAAGTAGAGCAGCTAGGACACGAAGCAGCACCCATATGGGATGCCAGCATCATAGACAGCAGCTTAACCCATTGTCCCACATGCCAGCCTCTAGCTTCTGCCTCTCACTTCAGGTATTTCAACGTAAGTATCTAAAGCATAGCTTTTATGCGTTTTTTTTGACAGGCAGAGTGGACAGTGAGAGAGAGAGACAGAGAGAAAGGTCTTCCTTTTGCCGTTGGTTCATCCTCCAATGGCCGCCGCGGCCGGCGCGCTGCGGCCGGCGCACCGCGCTGATCCGATGGCAGGAGCCAGGAGCCAGGTGCTTTTCCTGGTCTCCCATGGGGTGCAGGGCCCAAGCACCTGGGCCATCCTCCACTGCACTCCCTGGCCACAGCAGAGAGCTGGCCTGGAAGAGGGGCAACCGGGACAGAATCCGGCGCCCCAACCGGGACTAGAACCCGGTGTGCCGGCGCCGCAAGGCGGAGGATTAGCCTAGTGAGCCGCGGCGCCGGCCACGTTATTATAATATGTACAAATACACTGTGACACTGTGTGACTGACCTTCATTGCAGCCATTATATCAACAACATTCTGTAAATGTACATATATATTACATGCCTGTTTTAACCAGCTATTAATGTTTAATTAGAAAGGTTAAAATCATACATTGTTACATACATATCTCTGCTTACTATGTTCCTAAGATGTTTAATTTTTTGATTTGTTTTGAAAATATGTATAAAACAATCACCTGAGCTATTATATGGAGTGCCATATGACCAAATGTCATTTGCATAGAACCCAAAAACGAACATTTAGTTGGTATTTAGCAAAACCTGTCTCAGAGAATCAGAGTTAACATCTGGTAGTCTTTTTTTTTTTTTTTTAAGATTTATTTATTTATTTTAAAGTCTGAGTTACACAGAGAGAAAAGGAGAGGCAGAGAGAGAGAGGGAAAGAGAGAGAGAGGTCTTCCATCCGCTGGTTCATTCCCCAGTTGACCGCAATGGCTGGAGCTGTGCTGATCCAAAGCCAGGAGCCAGGCGCTTCTTCCAGGTCTCCCACATGGGTGCAGGGGCCCAAGCACTTGGGCCATCTTCTACTGCTTTCCCAGGCCATAGCAGAGAGCTGGATCAGAAGAGGAGCAGCTGGGACTCAAACCAGCACCCATATGGGATGCCGGCACTGCAGGCGGTGGCTTTACCTGCTATGCTGCAACATCTGGTAGTCTTATTTTGTGTGAATATTGACACTTGGCCAATATATCAATCAGTTCCTGTTCTTTGTTACTTTTTAGCCTAAGCTTAACTCAGCTTCTAGGTCTTATTTCTTCACTGGGTCTTCTTGTGTAAAACTTGACATTGTACCTAAATGGTGATGTTCCAGGTCTGTCCAGGTCATCAGATAGGGAGTTAACTGGCATCTCGCTCCCTCAGCACTCTCAACTACCACACAAGAAAGTGAAAGCCCTATGCGAGGTTGTCCCATTGTTTGTTAAGCTACTGTGTAATCCCTTGGATGTGTTCCTAAAAGAAACTCCACTGGTTTCCAACACAGCATACAGTCATTTGTTTACTAGTTGCCTTGGTGTTGTTAAACAACTTCAAAATTACTTTCAGATGTTATTTTTTTGTGATTTAAATGCCTACAGTTTAAGATTTGAAATGTAAGCATATCATGTATTAGGCAATTTTTAACTTCTAGCGCTGCTTGAGGAAGTGCATTTCATTGAGTCCTATGGTTCTTAACATCTTTTAGGGTTTTTTTTAAAAGATTTATTTATATATTTAAAAGGCAGAGTTTCAGAGAGGCAGAGGCAGAGACAGAGATCTTCTATCTGCTGATTTACTCCCCAAATGGCCTCAGCAGCCAGGGCTGAGCAAGACCAAAGCCAGCAGCCAGGAGCTTCTTCTTGGTCTCCCACATGGGTGACAGGGGTCCAGGGGCTTGGGCCATCTTCCGTTGCTTTCCCAGGCACTTTAGCAGGGAGCTGAATCAAAAGTGGAGTAGCTGGGACTTGAACCAGCACCAGTACGGGATGCTGACACTGCAGACGGCATTTTTACCCACTACACCACAGCACCATAACCCTCTTCTAGGTTATCTACTACTTGGGGGCTGGTGCTGTCACGTAATAGGCTAGCCTCCATCTGCAGCACCAGCATCCCATATACCATATGGGTGCCAGTTTGAGTTCTGGCTGCTCCACTTCTGATTCAGCTCCCTGCTAATAGCCTGGGAAAGCAGTGGAAGATCGCCCAAGTGCTTGGGCCCCTGCATCCACGTGGGGGCCCCAGAAGCTCCTGGACCTGGCTCCTGGCTCCTGGCTTTGGATTGGCCCAGCTCCAGCCATTACAGCCATTTGAGGAATAAACCAGAGGATAGATGACCTCTCTCTCCGTCTCTCCTCTCTGTTTGTAACGCTGCCTCTCAAATAAATAAATAAATAAATCTTTAAAACATAATAAAAATAAAAATAAAATAAACCATTTGGAATTCTAATGAAAACAGTAAAACTCTCCCCCAGAAACATGTAATAATGGAACATGGAAGGTGTTATACTTAAAAGTATAGTAAGTTAAGAACCTATAATCATCAAAACTCTATTGAATATCAAAGAAGTACTCATTGTATTTTCTACATGTCACTTTGTTTCTTCAAAAATAACAAGCCTGGTATAAAGATGAGAAAAAAATAGAACTTATATTGTTGTGTCTTTGGGAAGTTTCTTTAGAAAGTCAGATCTTTCTTTCCCTTTCCTTACAATTACTAAGTTCCAAAATGGTGGACTAGATATTAGTGTTTGGCTCCTGTTTCTCTGAGAGTCCATTAAAATGATCAGACGAGATTGGGCACGTTCAGGATGGTATGGCCGTAGACAAGAGTCCATTAAAATGAAAACATAGAAGTACGAAAACAACAAAAGAACCAGTTGATTGGGTCACCAATAAACAAGAAAATTCTAGAAGTTGGAAAGTGGATAGGAATGGGTTTAAGGAGGAAGGAAGCCAAGAAACTACAGCCTAGAGTATACTCTGAACAGTGAATTGGACCAGCCCAACAGTTCACCAAAGAAAGCTCAGGCAGTGAGATGAGCAGAGTGAGAACTGGGACTGAAAACAGCAAAGCTGAGTGGAATCATGATAGAAAACTGCTTCCTGGTTTTGCTATGCCCTTACCTGCCTTCTCACCTCCACTTCCATTCAAGCAGGCTACATTTTCTTCCACGGAAAACACAGATATTCTTCTAGAAACAAATTGAACAAAATGGGGAAAACCAATACATCTAGTGTGGATGTCGATGCTTTAAAATAAGTCTTTTTCCTCCTGGAATGTAGGATTCTGCAGTCTAAGAGCCTGGTTTCCCTTCTGCTCACATTAATGCTTTTGTTCTTCTCTGCCACGCCCTACATCCCTTATTGGTAACCCTTTTAGTACACTTCTGGTCTATCCTTTCAACATATCCTTTTTTGCAAAAGAAAGTTTCTTTTTTTCTTTTCTTTTTTGTTGTTGTTGTTGTTGTTTGTTTAATTTTTCCATTTATTTGAAAGGCAGAGTTACAGAGAGAGAGAGCAGTCTTCCATTCACTGGCCCACTCCCCACATGGCTGCAATAGTCCAAAGCTGCGCCTATCCGAAGCCAGGTGCCAGGAGCTTCCTCTGGATCTACCATGTGGGTATAGGAGCCTGGCCATCCTCTACTGCCTTCCCAGACCATAGCAGAGAGCTGGGTCAAAAGTGAAGCAGTGGGGCTGACACTGTGGCGTAGTGGTAAAGCCGCCGCCTGCATTGCTGGCATCCCATATGGGCACCAGTTCAAGATCCGGCTGCTCCACTTCCAATCCAGCTCTCTGCTATGGACTAGGAAACCGGTAGAAGATGGTCGAAGTCCTTGGGCCCCTGCACCTATGTGGGAGAACCAGAAGAAGCTCCTGGTTCCTGGCTTCAGATCAGCACAGCTCCGGTCGTTGCATCCATGTGGGGAATGAACCAGCGGATGGAAGACCCCTCTCTCTCCCTCTCTCTTTCTCTCTGCCTCTCTTCTCTCTGTGTAACTGTGACTTTCAAGTAAAATAAATAAATCTTAAAAAAAAAAAAAAAAAGTGGAGCAGCCAGGACTCGAACTGGTGCCCACATGGGATGC